GCATAACAGTATAACCTTAACTTATCGAAAAAGGATTCTCACTTCCATCTTTATGAATAAAGATCATTTTTCTCTAACCCTACTTAAGGTTGGCAATCACATTGAAATGGTTGGCACTGTAAAGTGCAAACTTTGACCGAAAACATATAGTAATCAGGAAAAAAAAATCTCTGTATATAATCCTTCTTCACACGAAACCAATAAACCTCATTTTCCGATAACCAAATAAGAGATTCTAATGCAGACACTCTCATATGCACGCCCCATGAATAAGCCAAAGATACAATTTCTGGAAGAAAAAAAAATCTATGCAACGCTCAAAAGCATGAATAGGAATCAAAGAAAAACAAAACGCGGAGCAACTATTTATTCATTTTAGAAACTTTATCTAGGTCAACCCGGATCAAGTTTAAAAAAAAATCTCATCTTTTTGTCAATCCCAGATCAGAATCAGGTAAGCGGAAACGATAAAACGAAAGAAGGAGAAAGGATAACAAGACATGGATCAGGGATTCTAAGGTAAAATTCATGAGATGGCACAACAGCGTACATAAAAAAAGCACTGACCATCTCCGTCCTTATCAAAGAGACTGAAGGCTTCCTTGAATTCAGCGATCTGATCGTCGGAGAGCTGGTCCGCCATTGTTAGAGAGGGGGAAATGAGAGAGAAACAGACAGAAGAAGAAACGGAAATGGCAGTCTTTTATCGAAGAAAAAACGATGGAATCTGTATCTTAAGGGCAACTTTAGGAATAGGGGTGGCGTGGTAGACCAGGAATGCGGTACCGTACCTGATTCTATCCCACAGTTTATTTTTTCATTTTGGATTAATACATTAAAACAAATACTTCTTATATGTTTGGCACAACTAACTAAAAAGATAATGTTTATGCGGCATTGGATTTGACAAGGAATAGACGGGCTTGGGCTTGGGTAGCAAGAGACGAGCATACGAATTTCATAAAGGGAGGATGGCAAACGAAGGAAGCCAGCTGGACAGCGGGGATAACAGAGGCAATAGGAGTGCGGGAGGCCATACGGTGGGTTCAAGTAGGCCTGGGACCGGTTCGGTTCCTAGGCGAAATATGTGGAACCGTTTGAAAATATGAAATTTTACTAACGGTTCGGTTCTTATAAATTATTTTGTAGAACCGATAAGGAACCGAACCGTTCTTAACGGTTCGGTTCTTGTCATTTAACGGTTCCTAGTATTTAAAAAAAAATCTTACAAATCACGGTTAAATTTGTGTCAAAAACACATTCAACGCTTGAAATTACAATACAAATATGTTGAACTTCATTTCAAACCTCAAAAGTTGAGTTTAAAAGATGAATACATAACAAACTGCAAATTTTAGAAAACAAAAACAAAACAAGATACTCGGTAAAGAAGCCCAATAAAACCAGTTAAATGAAAAATAATTTCAAATAGTTAAATAACTAAACTAAAATAGTGAATGTATTATGAAAATAGATAAGTAAATATACATTAAAATATATATACTAATAAGAAATATATATAATTTTAATTATTATATATAACGGTTCTTTAACGGTTCCACGTACATATTTTTTACAGGAACCGAGAACCGAACCGTTAATAAAAAGTAGGAACCGAACCATTAACAAATAACTAATAAATTTTGGAACCGAACCGAACCGGGTCATAACGGTTCGGTCCGGTTCGGTTCTTCGGTTCTTGGTTCCAAAGTCCCAGCCCTAGGTTCAAGCTCAAGGCTGACAGGACGTCGAAGTGGAAACGGACTCCCTACTGGTAATGTCTGGGATGGCAGGAAGAGATGGAGATGCTTACTTTGATACTTTGATAGAGGATATTAGACTCAGTCTTCGTAATGAAGCTAGGATAGAAGTCATGCATTGTCAGAGATCCGCGAATGTGGTAGCTCATATGCTTGCTCGGGCTGCCTTTTCTATGTCGGATGGTTATTATTTGATTTGTAGTCCACCTAATTGTATTGTCACTCAGTTGAACAATGATAGTTTGAATTAATGAAAGTGAAGTTTTATTCAAAAAACAATAACTGAAAAGATATTTCTATTAACTTTTTAGTAATTGTTACTCATTTGGTCCCTAATTGTTCTTTCATAGTACAAATGGCACACATATTAAGAAAATAGGTATTGTGTTATGAAAAGTTGTACAAATGAGAGAAATGGGTAACAAATGTTGCGAACCACAATTTTTTAACCAAAAAAGAAAAGTGAAAGTTTTTTAGAGACTGATGAAAAGGGAAAGTTAGAAGTTATTTCAGGGACGGAGGGAGTAATGTAGCATCTCAAAAAAGGTCTTTGATTTTTAAAAAAGCTCTTAAAATTGGCTTTTCAACCAATCACCTAGGAGTTTTTAAAAACTTTTTAAAAAAGCTCTTAAAGAGTACTCTTAAAATAGTACGAGACTGATGTCTATTAAACATGCTCTATATGCAAAGTACAATGCAAGTTTTTTGGAAAATCCTATATTCCTCCTAAGTTTTCTTTCATGGTCTGGATGTGCTTTAGGAATAAGCTCTCAACGGCTAGTTCTCTTTAGTTCCTTGACATTGATGTTACATGCTATTTTTGTCTTGATGAACCATAATCTGTTGAGCATCTTTTTTTTAGTTGCCCGGTTACAAATATGATATGGAAGAATTACTAAGTGTTGCAAAAAGGAATATAAAAGAGCAAGATTAAGGAGCAAGGCTATTAGAATGGCTTTTTGCAGCTCTGTGTTCACCATTTGGAAGTGCAGAAACTCAATAATTTTTTAAGGGTACCCTGCTATAGTTCAGAACATCATTTTGCAGATTAAAGTATTGACATATAAAGTTTTTATAGGCTTTATCTTTATGATATGATTGATTTTTGATACTCCATTAAAATTGTTATGGTGGAGGTGTGTTTGTAGCTCTGATTTTAGACTGGTGAATGACTGGGATGAGTAATCTGGGACCTGTCCCTCTGTTTGTTCTTGTAGCTGGGCATTTTTGTTTATAATATTGATTTACGGTTCTTCAAAAAAAAAATGAGTACTACGCCAAGCGTATCAGCACTTTTAAATTTAAAAAATATGTCATATCCCTTATAATATGATTAATCACGTCAAAATCCTATCCAAAAATAGATTTTACTATTTATAAATTATTTATATTAATATTATGATGAATATACAAGTAAATTTGCCTAAATCTCTAAATTATACATCGTACAAAAAACTGGCTTTAAAAAATTCTCCCAATTGATTATTTGAACATGTGAGCTTAAAATAAATAACATTCAATTCTAGCAAGTTTCAATTTCTTAATGTGTATACTTACTTTATGATTCCAGAAAGTGAAATGTAAAATAAAGGAAAATTAAAAATACCAGATAAGCATTAAAATTTGGAAATGGAAAATTAGAAAACAAAAATAGAAAATCCAAGAAATAAAGTAAACAGTCCCTATTTAATAACTCTCGTTGCTTTCTTATTACCCAATCACATTATGACCTGTCAATCTATTCTTTCCTTCTTTTCCGAAATAGAGAAATAAGAATAGTAAAAATCGTATGGTTGAGATTTGTGCAAAAGAGAGAAATGTGCATAACTACAAATTAGTTACTTTAATAGGAAAGTGGCAAAGTTTTTTTAGACAACCCAAAAGGGAAAGTTGGCAAAGTCCAATGGGACGGAAGGAGTATGAGACATATTGTAAATGAAAAATTAGGAATATATTAAATAAAATATGACGAAAAACGAATAGTCTTTCAAAACCGAATGAAATCAACCGAACTCTGAGTTGTATGTAGCCGAATCAGACATAGGGGGTGTTTGGAACTGAATATGCTTCTGCTTCTTTTTTAAAGCAGAATCAAAATCAGTTTTCAGAAGCTGGTCTCCCCCAGCTTCTAAGAAAACTGATTCTAGGAGTAAATTAGAGCACCAGAATCATTTCTGCACTTTCACTCAAACACTCCAACTTTTGATTCTGCCCCCTGAAGGAGCAGAAGCAGTTTTAAGAATTAGATCCAAACACCTCATATTGTACCTAGGATGCTTTTTTACCTATTTTCTTTTATACGTAACAAACAAACAATACCCAAGACGTCAGTGCTCGTTTCTTGGGTCGGAAGACTTTCATTCAAATTAACCTCAACAATTTACTTATTTGTTATTAGTTGTAATTTTACTTTATATACTTTTTAATGTTACTCATAGGGATGTTCATTAAGTTACTTTTGTCAAGTTTCGGTTTTGAACTTTTCTTTATTCTCTATTTAGGGAATTCCCTCATCTTAGTAATGTAAAAATCAGTTTCAATCTGGTTTGTGTTCTTAATTTCTAGTCAATATAATTTGTTTCGGCATTTCTTTTCCATTGTAGTTGATGTTGGTCAATTAGAATGGCTTTAAACCGTTATCCTTAAATCATAAATTGAACCGTCTATAGTTTCGTTCTCTTTTATCGATTTTGATTTTACTGATTTTAATTTAGTTGATTTACTTTTGTTCATCCTAACCTCTGTTAGTTGAGTTGATTTATTCTTGTTCATCCCTAATTACATACTCTGTATCTAATATTGGTCTCATATATAAGTAGGACTGTAGGAGTGGACTCAGGCCGTGGCCGGGGTCGGCAGGCTTTTTTTCTACAAAACGTTGACACAGTACCGGTCTGATTTGCTGTGGTACGGGTCCTGGCCTAAACAGTACGGGCTTTTTTTTAAATTGTTCTAAAAAAGTTGAGTGTTTTGAGTTTTGACGTTTAGTTGAGTGTTTATTACTTTTTCACCTCTGGGATGATAACCGAGCATATCAACTCGAAAAGGCTTATGTTGAATATGTACCTTAATTTTTAGTTATGCTTTAATACCTTAATATGCGGGTATGGACTTCTGCAAAAAAAATAGGCAATATCAACTATTAATATTAACTACTAAGCTAAATGTATAAATGAATAAACAAAAAATGTAGATCAAGTAGGAATCAAATACCAAATTAAAATTTATGGATGAAAATAAAGGAAACACAAGAGTTTTATGTATTATAAATCATGATATTCTATGCAATATATATTACACAAGAATATTATTACTATATCGGCGAGCAATGTCAAGATTGTCAATGAATTGAAGTTGGAACACTAAATGCAGCAATGTAACACTGAAGCTGGGGGCGATATGCGACATCCAGTGTAAAATATTGTATGAATTTAATTGCACCGAGCTTACAAATCCAAATTCCCAACTACTACTACTATAGGAAAGAAATCCAACACATTTCTCACCTGTTGTAAATTTCTAATGGTCATTAGGGAAGAGAAAGTATACATATATTGTACAATGCTTAAGATGATATGAGGTGCCAATAGTATATGTGTATGACTGAAACTGAATGACCAAAAATTGCGTTTTGGAGGCATTGACATACATACTCTAAAAAAGTGAACAAAAATGAGAATGAGTTTGTAACGAACACTAACGAAGACTTTGCTGTAAGGCAGTAATGTTCATTTATATACGCTCTCATGGACATTCCTTTGCCACTTTCCTCCTGTCCCAACTACAAGAGTTAAATGCATGTGATTCACTGATCCTGTCATGTTCCTTCCATCAACAATGCAGAACTCCGTGCTTGATCCCGAGTGCGTTGTCAAAAGATAGATGGACAAGAAGGGAAATTCCTCAAGTGACTCCCAAGTTTTACTTCTTTTACATAAAATCCAACCATCATTGGAAATCTGGAACCCAAACTGGATAAAACGCAAAAATCTGTGACGACTGCCGATTGGAAGACTAGGAAAAGTGGCTGGAAAAATGGAAACTATGACAGAATTAGCAACAACAAGTCATGTCCTTCAAACTCAAGAGTTTCTAATATATTAAGAGGCAGTAATTATCATCCAAAATTTGAGACCATAAAATGCAGATAATGAATATCTGCATTTATCATGTGCATATGAAAGACATACAAAAAGGCGATGATTTTACTTCTCACGTCCCTCAGGTTCAATAGAGAATTAGATTTAGATATGAATACATAGCATATGATGAAATGCCTATTGGTAAAGATTATTTGACAGAAATGGCTGCTGAACTTTCTGAAAATAAAAGCATTTAGAAAAATAAACTTCAGCAAAACAAGTCAAATGCTATTTATTTTACTTATTCTCATTATTCAGCCAATAGCAAAATAAGCTGGTTGATACTGCCAAAAGGGGCTCAAAATTAGGGCACAAGTAAAACATACAGAAAAGTACAAAAACCCTATGTCGTGATTTATCAGCACAAATTACTAACAAGTTACTCATAGATTTTACAAGGCACAAATTACAAACAAGTTAATCATCATCAATTTTAAAGAGTTATGTAATCCTTACCTGCATTTTATGCACTGTGCTGAACTTGGCGGTGTAATTGAATAATCCAATCCATGTAGCCATTTGAACCACCCATCTGGTCCTCAACTAAATGTTTGAGTAGATAGAATCCTTCTCTGGGCTGTTCACCTTGCCTCACAAGGTGAGATATCTGGTAATATGACGGGTCACTTCGCCGATACTTGCTAAGCAAGCCAGTTAATTTTCTTGAAATTTCATTATCTTGCTCACAAATGCAAACCTGCCCATCGAGGGATAACGAGTAGCGGAATAAACAAACAATTATTATGAATGTGGCCACATTTAAGAAAAATGTATTTAGCTTCATTACTAATACTCTAGGGCAGGGAATAGGGGTATTACAATGTTCATGGATTAGAGTATAAAAAAATCCATTCATACAAATTTTGCAATGAATTATCAAGTTACTTTTACAGCTGAGAATTTCATAAAAATGAAAACAGGCTGACAGAGTTAAGAGTCGGGGCAAAAGAGAAGGAAAAGACAACCATATAGATGTGGATAATAACCAAGTTTGTACCGCAACATCAAATGCAGATTTGTAATGCAATCATACATCCTACAAAGAGTATAGAAATATATTCAATTATACGACCATGTTATCCTAATTTTACAAGAATTATTATTTGCATGTGTTTCAATGTTAAAAAGTATAAGCATGTACCTATTCTTTAAAAACTTTATAGCTAACTAAATTGGAGTATAAAAGAAAATAAAACCTCTTTTCAATAACTTTGTTTTATAAGCAACACGTTATGATTGTGGTATTTTGTTCTATATTGTGAATGTCTAACTAAATTGGAGTAAATTCACAATAAACGTCAGAAACAGTATCAGCGAATCTCTCTCCCATCTTCATACAGTTAAAAATACATTTCAACAGAATGGAGAATCCACTCCTAAAAAATAGACTTTATAGTGGAATAGACTCTACCTTTGACAAGTCTGCAGCGGAGTCATTACCAAGTAAAGCTTTGATGATATCAGGTGAGAGCATTCTACCAAACCATACAACAAACTGAAAGCCATCATCATAGATGTAGAGTCCACTGTCTTCTAAACTAGCTATGGTGAGTGGCAGCCTTCTCAACATGTTCCTGTAATCCTCAACAGAAGCTGATGTCTGCAAATCATGGATGGAAATATGATTCAGAATCTCAGATATGAATTTCCATGTGAGGAAGATATATCAGCCAAAGCTATATGATCATGTTGATAGTCTTCCTTATGGGTGTGTGTGTGTGTCTGAGAGAGGGTGGGAGTAAGGAATAACTTGAGCCCTGATTTGTGCCAACATGAACATCAATTGAATCTTGTTCTAAAATGTCCCAACAGAATGATTTGTGCTTACAGGTGCACGAAATGACAAAACACGAACTTTACATTCATGACATAAATCCAAACAAAATGAGTAAAACACGGTTTTATCATGTCTCACCTTTTTGTCAAAGTTAAACCTTAACTTTGTTAATATGGTTTTCAAGCTGAAGCTTCTTTAAAAATTCTTTTTAAATGTCTATTTAATTTTCTTTTTACCAGAGGCATTAGTGTCGAGACTGTACCGGACAAAGTTCTATTTGATACCCTTCAACTTAACCAGTAAAAAAGAACCAAGAGATGGATACGATTGCAATTTGAAATAAAAGTCTTGGGGGTATTTGGCTTCATCAGGCATAAAACTACCCCTGGAATGCCTATCAACATTATATGATATACAGAAGTATTTTCCTATCATGAACTTGGGTGGATAAATAATTCTCCTAAAACTGGTATTGTGATAGTGAAAGAGCTATATGCATAAGTTGTAATGAATATGCAACACCACCTTGGACTACATGAAAGTATGAAACATAGAAAGAAACGCTAAGGGCATGATATTAATGGACCTTGATGGGGGGTGAAATTATTCCTAATGAAGAAACAATTACTTACTTTCAGAAGATACTCATCTATACGAGTCAAAGTAGGATACAAAAGTTTCAACAACTTTTTAACAGGCAATGCCATCATAGTGAATGCTGCTGCACATCGCTCATCAAGTTGAACATCGGAATAACCACCCCGTAGTGGCGTTGACTTGGACAGAGCAAGCCCATACAAAGGCAACAATTTCAATGATTCTGGATATATCATTCTCCCCCCTAAGCGATGTTGAACAGCATACAGATTGCGATATTCTCTTAGGGCTTTAACAATTCTAAGGTGAACTGAACTCCTTGACTCTTCCAGTTTAGAGGAAAGGGTCTTCTCAATAGCTGCACATAAATATCATATACCAAGAATATAAGAACAAAAAAATATATAATAATAATGTCAATAATAATAAACAATGGCCATAGAGAGATATTAATTTCCATACCTAGCCTACTGAACAAGGAAACAATAGCACCGGTATCAGCAAGACGATACATTTCTCCTAATTCTGCAACCACGGGTGCTGCAGCTGTGTGTACCCTGATTCGCCTTTCTCCAGATGATGATGTGTATCTTTGATTTATTAAGGAAACCTCAACTGACTAATATCAAATAAATCGTAAACCCATAAATTTGTTTTTCCTGTATACAGAAAATGACAAGTGTCACTACTACGATGGTGCATACAAATAGGAATTATAGGATTAAAAGAACATCATCACTAGAGAACAAAAGAGGCTCATAATTTATCTCAAACCATCCACTGCTTGATATTTACCCCAAAAATTATGGAAAGGAAATACTTCAAAGCTCTGCAATTAGTTTGTAGGCTTACAATCTCTAGTTATTGAACCCATCTACTCATTTCTCTTGCTATAGGGACCAAAGAAGCTGAAGGAGATTTGTTGCCCACAATTCCGCGTTCTCCACATTATAAAGAAGCCCTCGTGGTTTTAACATCCGGTCGAAGGGCCACTGGCACAAATGATCAGCTTAGTAATTCTTAATTCATACCTAGGGAGACTATCTCACAAAGGCTTCAGATATTGGGACCGCAAATAAAATGTGATACATAAAGAGAGCAGAAATCTATAGTTAGTCACATGCAAAGGCAGACATTTGTTATTTCTTTGAACTAAATGGGAAATTGGTATGTAGCTGTTTCATTTGGAAAGAAGTTCTTATAGGTTCTAGCATCCAACTTCAGGGGGGGGGGCTTATATAGTTACATGAAAGGAAGGATACAGCAGAGCAACTTGGAAATAAACTGTCTGGGTAGTTAGCAGCGTTTCTTCGAGCGATAGCTGCATTGCATAAGCCTTATCACAATCAACAGCTGGAAGCGCTACTAGATCAGTGGATCGCAGCATAAAATTACCATGATAGGTGGTAAACCGAATGCCTTCAACAACAATAGAAAGCATGCAATTAGTCTTAAACTTTGCAGTTTTATTTCGAGAAGATGTTCACAATTGGATCTCAACCATACCTTTTCTTTAGTTTTCATTACCAATATTTTTATATAAAAAAAAACATTTGGTTCAGAGAGACTTTTTTGGAGGATCCGCTAAGATGCTAAACCTAGGATATTGTAAGCTTAGTTTGAATGGAATCAAAAGATAGAAATAGATGAACTAACCTTTTCCACACCGTATTCGCATGACAGACTCCCAGGCAGTCTCTCTTGTCAAATCTCTTGCCAACTCATAGCTCAACTTATCTTTATGAATTGAAGCATGGAAACTTGGATAGTGATATACCTGACCACCAGTATACTTTGCCAAGGTCCCTAAATACAAGTAAAAGATAACATCTTATAATTATAGCTTCATACAACCCACAATTAACAAATACCAAACAAAGAGGACAACACCTTACGTTATTATCAATTAAACAAATATTGTTAACTATTAAAGCAGGAATGCATTTAAAAATGATCTCCAGATGCTGTATACTTTAGGTAAAGCCCCGAACTATCAACTGAGTATGTCAAAACTAGATCTCTGATTAAATAATAAAATAATACAGATCTAATGGTAATTTTCCATGGGTGCAAATGTGCAATTAGTTGTTTTAGTCCTCAGTTGTTCATTTTTGTAAATAAAATCTTCAGTTTTGTCGAATTGTTGTGAGTTTACTCCTTACACTCATTTGACCTATGTCTTCTGTCTATTTCCATCAATAGTTTACTAATGTCTCCAATCAATGTATGTTAGTATGTTAGAAGGATCAAATAGACCCTTCTACTATTTCCAATAAATCATTTAAGTCCCTATACTAAAAAAGTGTCATATAAGTACCTTTACTTTAAAGACGTAGTAAGTCAAGTCATTTTAACCTGCTATAGCAGATTATTTTTTTGAAAATTGATAAATTTTATGAAAATTCATATAAGTTTACAAAATAATTTAATAATAATACGTAGTATAAAATATTTTCCATCATTTGCATGGAGCCAAAGATTCATTATTTTTTGGCTTGAGAATATGATGGAATAAAGCAAAATGGCTCACTAAACTGTCTGCACTTCTTTGTTATGAAGCAGCAGCCAGTCCATGCAATTTTGGACGCGATTTTCATTATGGGTCATCCCGAAACAGTCTCTCTATGCTTTAGTACAGGGGTAAGACTGCGTACATCCGACCCCCCCCCCCTACCCCACCGTAGGTGGGAGCCTTTGCGGCACTGGGGTAAATGAAAATGATGAATGACGTAGTATAAAAATAGTATATATTCATAAATAGATAAATTATTTTTTAATGTTAAAATATAAAAAATAAAAACTCAGAAAAATGGGGGAAAAAAAGTAAGTGTAAAAAATATAAAAATCAAATCTAATAACTTTTACAAAGATGCAGAATATACAAATGATTCCAAAAATGAAAAATATAGACTTTGACATTCTTAAATCATCCACAGTTTTTATTTATATTTTTCAAAATTTTACAAATCTTTAAAGATTTTTAATATAAAAAACCTGCTACTACAGGTCAAAAACTGGTCCAAAGGCCATATTGTTTGATTCGTTAAAGTGAGCGTACTTATATGATATATTTTTTAGTATATGAGCTTAAGTGATGGATTGGAAATAGTAGAAGGATATATTTGACCTTTTTCCGTACTTAATTATATTAGTTGAGAGAACAATTGACAAAATAGACCTGTGAAATAGGAGAAGGATACAATGCATTAATGTATCAAGGTCTGTATAATAAGTCCCTATTTATAATACAAGGATGTACATGATAGCCCAGGCCCGCTGCAGTTAGGATTTAAACATCCCCTCTCACGCTGGCACAAACAAGTTAAACATGTCAAGTGAGTTGAATATGTACTCCATTCTAGATTTCTATAAACGCCAAGTGACTTGGTAGTTAGTGAAAATATAAGCTAATTAAACTAATCAACACAGTTAACAAACTATGAAGCAATAAGCAATACATCCAGAAACACCTCTTCTCTAAAAAGGTAGCTAAATGAACTAATCAACAAAGTTAACAAACTGTGTGGCAATACATCCAAAAACGTCTTTCCGTTAGAATTCTCCATCCATTTCACTACCTGACCTTGCTCAAATGATGCAATTTATGACAATATAAATGCCAAAACTCCATTTCTTTCCGGTAATTTATCAAACGAAATGCTTGGGTAGTGGAGAGAAATGGGATTTTGGGTGAATATATTCAATAGTCACATTTATTAAATTGTGTCAGCTGAGTCACGCTGAGAAACTGAAGTGAGAGTCTAATGACCAAACAGAACTGAACTCTTAATGTGATCTAAAATTCAAACCCATTTTGGCAGTTCTGTCGGTACAGATTGATGAGATCATTACTATATATGTATTTGTGTGTGTCTACTAATTTTTCATACTTATATATGTGCGTCTGTGTGTGCAATGTAAGTGTAGAGTGTTGTATTCTATTTCCAGGAAGGGGGGATCCAACTCTTTCCAAAACTTATATACTGGACTCTATACCTAATCTTTGTCAAGTGTCAGGTATAGAAATATGGTTAGGTATACTACCACACTGTTGGAAAACTTGTGTGTATCTGCATGTATGTATATAGGAAATTGGAAGTGAGTAGATTACCCAATGTTGCTAAATCTGTATACTTGTCACTAAATGTATATACATTTACAGCAATTTGATACTTGGTGAAATCAGCAGCCATCTGCTTATAAAAAGGGTCTTCTGGTATTCTCAGCGTATGTTCTTTATCAGTTCCATACAGGCGAGGATCGTCTCCACGCAGCATCAAGCGGCCAATGCCCAGTGATGGAAGCGTGTTCTGAAAGATCAACAGTTTACCACCAAGTTGGTTCTGGCAGTAGGAACACAAGTTTTAGTATTGAGTCCTTTATAGATAAGTCAGTAAAAAAGAAAGACCGAGGGTAATAGGGTATGTTTCGTTGGAGAATTGAGGGGTTTGGAAGGGAGAAGGTTTCGAGGGCTTACTCCATATCTTAATAAATAGAATGACTCTAAAAGAAAACAAAAGTTGATTGAGATATACAATTACATACAAGGTTGATCTTTCAAATTTTATTATTATAAAATCTAAAAATGTGTATCAAGATATATACTAAGCCATCGAAAGCCATCTAAACTATGTATCAACTATCAAGATATATACCAAGTCGTCCAAAGCCATCTAAAATATGCATCAAGATATATACTATGCTATCCAGCATCATCTAAAATATATATCAAGATATAGACCAAATCCTACAAAGCCTTCTCCTCTAAACCCTTACAAGATCCATCATCCAAACAGACCCTGAAAGAAATTCCCTCACAATTAATAAACAGCAAAAGTGGCCTGGGTGCAATAAAAAGAAGTTTACACACCATAATCATAAATGCAGCTTTAAGTGCAGGACCAAAAGCTGATTCCACATTTACATTCTCTTCGAACATTGAAGGCAAGCAATCGAGAAATGCATCTACTACAGCCCTAGATTCTGACAAGTTGACAAGAAGATCATCTGGCAATGGAACAAAAGTGTCTTCGAGATCTGACACAACCATCATCTGAGGTTGTGTCAAAGATGACTGGCAGAAAGAAGGGAAGACTGTTTAGATAGAGGAGCAATGAAAGTTTTGAAGCATGTCATACAATAGAACAATGTAAAACCAAAAAATACAAAGAAAGCAAGTTTTACTCCGTACAAAAAAAACACTTGCCTTCATATTGTAAAAATGTATGGTGGTGTCATATGTTATGAACCCAATTTGTGTTCTTGGATATCCAGGCAATCTATCCAAACAACTTTTGATGGTGTTTGCTATAACCTGTAACACATTCACAGTTCAAATGCATCATTCAATATTTGCTTTACAGTATCTATGCATTTTAAGTGCAAGAAGTGCAAATAAGTGGCTAAGGGGCTGTTTACTTTTTTCTATTAAGTCCTGTCTAGATTAAGATGAATATGTGTCTGAATTAAGTGATATTTGCACATGAGGTTGTTCATTTTGTGTGCTAAATTAACATACTGGATTGAGTTAAATATTCAATTTAATATTATTATTGTGTTAACTTAGTCACATCACATGACATGAATCGATATATGAATATTATTATTGTGTTATATTGTCAACGAACAATGTTATTTATCAACAAACAAATATTCCATAATCTATTTAAAAAAAAATGGTCGAATAGATGTCTTAATAGGCGTCTTACTGGGAAGGACTACTATATTACAACTTAATGATTAAGCCAAATTTTGACTGATTGAATACATCGTACTTTCAATTAAGTTGCGACTTGTGAGTAAACATGGCTTAATGAATGCACGATTAAGTTTTTATCATGATTAAGTCCACAGTGTCACAAGTAAACAGCCCCTAAGTGCTAACTACTATGTTTACATACTGTAGCAACACTAGCACTCAAAGAAAAGTAACACCTAAAATTTTGAAATAGAATTCCTCACCTGAAGCATTCCGCTTTTTACAGCAGATATTGATACATCAATGAGGAAAAAATACAACGGTGGCATTGGAGGTCGGACCATATATTCAGCTGGGGCAATAAATTCCACACTACCTTTGCTGAGCTCAGGCCGCTGATCAAAATCGACCCTTCTGCCTCTGGCATCTAAATGCGCAAAATAGTCACCGGGAACTGCACAAATAGTTCAATTGATGAGCCACTGAGCCAGCACACAATTATAAGAGTACAAAAAAAACAAATAACTGACTGCATCAACTGTCCAATTAGCCAGAACCTTGCATGTCAGCATATACAACGTAAATATTGCCTATTGTACAGAATAATCCAACTAACTCAGAGGAGAGAAAGGAGGCTGCTTCATATTTCCTACTATAAAATCATCAATATAATATATTGCAAACGCATAAAAGTTAGCTCAGGAAGCACTCTTTATACGAATGTCAAAGAAGATAATATGGTTTCAGGCCTCTGTGAGTCTTCTGGTAGTATAAAAACTCCGGAAAGCAGCAAAGTTCTGGACACACACTCGGATCCTCTTGAGTCTCAAACAAGTAATGTTCACACTATCCCAAGCTCAATTTTGTGCTACTTTATCTGGAAACCAAGTTGACGTGCAGGGTTTATGGGCATAGGAGTTGTTAAACACTTTAAAAGGCAATGTCTTTTGCTGTTGACAACTCCTAAAAGGCAGAATCTCATGTTTATGGGCATAGGAGTTGTTGACCACTTTAAAAGGGGTTGATAGTGTTTCAGAAAATGAAGAGGCAGTCTGGAGAAAATTGTATTACCAAAATTTAACTAATCCCGGTCCATTTATACCTGAAAGTTACTAAAGCCCATGAATTTACTTAGCAAATGTTGTTGCGAAGGTGTGGTGAGGCATTGGTTCAGTATGTGCTTAAGGATAATAGGATAAAGAGCATACTTTACTCAAGCCTATGGACTAATATGCTAAAAACATTTAAAGATTGAAAATTTGCAATGCTAGTCACAGTGAAATTAGAGAATGGCAGTATTGTTTCTCTCATTTGAAAGTTAGCGGTTTATAAAAGATTAATGTGAGTGTTCAACATCTACTCATAGTTTTAGTTATGATGAGCTGTACTAAAGTTCTTTTCACATTAATAGCTCTAGAAGAATCACATAACTAATTTTCTTGAAATCCATTCAAGCAATAATTCTGAGCAAAACATAAGGCTTAATGGTTTATATAAGCCTAGACTTCGTAGGTTGTCGTTTTGAGGGGGGCAAATTAATTGGCTTGGAAGACCAATTGGGGCTGTATTCAATTTCTTTGACCAAATTTTTGCCGCAATAGATTATCCTGGACAAAGGTTTTAATGAGGCAGTTTGCACATTGTGAATAACAATTCTACATGTATCTTTTTCTTGACTAGTTTTCCCAGAGTTTTTAGTGAGTTGCTTAATAAGACATGTACCCAGCTGATTATCATATGAAAGGCTTGCAATACTATTGTCTTCAGAGGAGAAACAACATCTAAACATATCTTAGGCCCGAGGGCCAGCTAATTGTAATCTTTTCCTTCGTTAAATTTTTACATCCAAGACTTTCTTAGTTAAAGAACTTTTATGAGGTTAAGTACAACACATAAGTACGTCTAAGATGTATAGCTGTACTCTTATCATCAACTCGTTTAATACAGCTGTTCTCCTTTGACAGTCACATTGCCACTAGAGGAAAAAGTTATTATGGAGTATCAGATGATGGTCACCTTATAATATCAAGAGAGCATTAATTTCCACTATTATCTTTCTTCACCCATAAACATTACACCGTACTCAAAAAACATAAATTGGGATATTTCGGTACTATTAACTATTTTTACCTTGAATTTAGAAGCATTCATTACTTTTTTAAGATGTATGTGGACACTTAAAACAACAGTTATAGAAAGAAAATGGGGGATTGTAATGAATTGTATCGTCAAGGAGAAAATTTTACCATCATTGTGCAATTGGCACATGTTGCACTTCCATTTTCTTCCGTTATCTGTAAATGTCACATATGGGTTCACATAGGTGCGACACCTTCTACAACGTATAATACCAGTTGTGGCAAAATTGATCACTGGAACTTCTTCCTGGTTGAAGAACATTGTGCATCAAGTGTTATTAACAATACAAAGGTAATTTAAAGCTAACAAAATGATTTGCAACCTAGCTATAAATAAATATACAAACCCCATCAGGAGCCTCAGCAAGAGGGCAAACAACAGCTCCAAGAGACAAATACCATCTTGAAGCTAAAGACTGTGAAGTCGGGATGCCACTGGTTGTTAGCCGCAGATACCTAGAACTGCAGTTCATAGGGAACATTTCAGACAAGGGACTTTGATGCATATCATCTTCAACTTCAAGTGGCCTTGGTAAAAGTTTAGCATCAACTCCTGTGTCATAAGATCCTGGAACAGACCCAATAGAAAGTGAATTGAAGTCCTCTACCAATCCATGCATTTGAGGTATAGGAGGTCCAGCAGCAGGATGTGGAGTATATCCTCCTTGTTGGGAAGAAAATGGTGCGGATTGCCCAATCGGGTGTTGTGCAACGGCAGTGGGTTGCTGACTGGGATATCCTGGAAAACCCGGTTGCAATGTGGGTCTGGAAATAGAATATGATGATACTGTAGGGGGTGCGGATTGCCGAAAGCTATTCATAGGAGCACTCGGCTGTAAAGTGCTCATGCTCTGTGAGGGACCCACATTGGACAGAGGTGGTGATTGGAAAGATGGCTGACCAACAAATGAAGTATGAGAAGGAGGAAACTGAGGAGTTGAAGAAAACTGTGGAGTTGGATAACGCTGGAAAGAGGTTGTAGCTGATGGGCCATACAATGCTGAAAATGGAGGTCGCTGTGATGGACTGCTAGGAACCCCTGGTGACATAGGTCTGAAGCCAGAAGATTCGGAGCCATCTACAGGGACAGGTGAGTATGGCGGGGGTGGGGGAGGCTGAATACTAGATGCTTGAAAAGGTATGGAACTCGGTGGAGCTGAAAAAGGTGTGGAAGCATGTCTTAATGGAAAATTGGGACGATTGGGGTTTTCAGTCCCCATGTATTCAAGATAATGTTCCTACATTTTTTCAGCCGTAACCGAAAGAACTGTGTTAGTGCACTAATGATATTCAAATTTAAAAACTTAAATAAGTAACAGCAGCAATCATTAAGGTTTAATCTTAATCTAGTTGTGCTCTAAAGCAGCCCAATAAAAATAATGTGTCTTAAAAGTGTTATGTTACTAACAGTTAGAGAATAACAACAAGAAACAACAACATACAAGCCTTATTCCCAAAAGAGTTTGGGGTCGGCTAACATGAAACGACATAAAATTTAATTAGAACACTATTGCAACAGCTGCTTTGAACAAATATCACATATTTGCAACAAGATACTATTAAATAACCCACCCCTCTTAATTACTTGAATGTATCTATAAATATATAAAAGAAAAAGGAATTTGGTACAGTTTCTGCCAAAGTTTTTGCCGAATCTATAAACATATGAAAGAAAAAGAAATTTGCTAAAGTGTTCCCGCCTAAAGAGCTCGATTGGAATAAAAGACACCTTATCAACTTATAGTAGAGAAAAAGTTCCACAAAGAATATGAATAGTAATGTAAAAAAGAACACTTTGTATGGTATCACGCAGCTACTTCTTGAGCATGTGCTAGGCTATGATATTACATCACCATAAATGCAAAAGGCACAAACATACCATGAAATTCCCTATAAATAGTAGAAAAGTTATTCCAAATGAGCACCGCCGGAGAACCCTTAGAATTAAAAATAAAAACTATGAAATTTACCAATTGTGTGTGTACGTCCTTTGTCATGGACAAAATACCTTTGAGCTTTTTCTTATGAGCCTCAAGGTTGTTGATGTAAATTTGCTGATTACCAATTTTGCTGATTTTGAATTCAACATCTAACTTTAGTTTAGGGAATTTATAAATACATATAAATTAATAAGAATTCACAAATAAGGCATGAACAACAGTACAAGTACCACATATATACATATGTGTGTGTGTCGATATCACATATACACAGATATAAACATATGTATAATTGATGATGCATATCTGTGCGTGAAATAATTAAGGAACAAAATACCATGATAAAAAGAAGGTTTCAAGAAGGACAGTAACAAAAACTCTAAACCAAAGTGGATAGTCTTACCAAACAAACCAAAAGCACAAACATTTGAGAACAATACTCTAAACGATGCACACACATATATCCACACCCTTATATGAATAATTTTAAAATCTTCAAAAAATAAATATAAAAGATGTTATATTTTTTCAGAACATAAATGGAGAGTGAAATCCTTAAAAGATGTTAAAACACTCTGATTTTCATTGAAAACCCATAAATTATTTTTAGTTCAGTGTACTATTGAAATCATAAATAACAATGATCAAAAGCACAATATGCTAATTCAAGTTATATGTAATGAAATAACATCGGAAATCCCTCATCTTGTTTTTGTTTTTCCAATACATAAACAAGAAAAACACGTCTAAAGTTGCTTAATCCTTTCAGGCAGCAAAAAACTGTTAAACATCAGTTGAAGCTAAATCAGTAATTATAAACGGAGAAAGGGGCGGACAAGAGATTATTGGTTGCAAAATAAGTAAATAACATTTTACTTTACCTTCTCTGAGTTAGACCGTATCGGACGAATCTAACATCCAATGGCGGTGGGGATAGTGAGTGCAGATTTAAGCCGAGCAGATCTTATTTAGGGAGCTATTCCGACAGCTATCGAAGTGTCAAATAGAGGGGACGAGGATTAAAGAGGTTTTTTATGTGTCAAAAACAGTTTAGGGATATGAGATCAGAAAACTGAAAACAGTTAATGCACAAGTACATGTTTAACTAGTTCGGTAGAAAACATACGAAAAACAACAAAAATAAACTCACTTACACTCTGTTTTACACGATGTACAAAAACATTACTACCTCAGTACATAATGCTGTTGCGGTTTGGGATATTTGACCAACGATAAAGCAATTCAATCCTTATTCGCATTCAAATTATTTTTAGAAAAAAAAATACATATTCATAAATTACATTAAAAACTTTACAAAGTCGTAAAAATCAGAATCAAATTTAATAAAATTTTGATATATAAAGTAAGAGATTAATAGGGATTTTTATTGACCAAGTGAATAGAAACTGGAACAATAATAATGGGATGGAGGGAATATTATTTTTTGGGAAAAAGACTATAATATGACTAAAACATGGGTTTGTATGCGGATAGGACCGAAGGACTGAAGACTTTTATATGATATTTTATTCTGAAACAATCATTTGTTACTAACTTGGTGAAACAACTAGTACTTGTTTCCATTGAACGATTTATTGCACTTGCTTATTACTTTTAAGTTTATATTAGTAATGACATTGTCATGAAAATAGCATTAGCAATATGTTATGTCACTACAAAATGCATGTAGCAATAGTATGCCAATGTCAACGTCGAGTTAAATTCATTTCTGAATTTTTAATTTAATTTTCATTGGTATGATATTGCAATGTTATGACAATGTCATTGAAATGACATTCAACTATGACTTATTCACGCCATTGGGACATCTGACATATTCCAAATGTCAATACATTATATTTGACGATGAAAATAGCAATGTTACGTCAATAAAAATGTCATCATGTACATGAGATTCTATTCTGAGTTATTAATCCCGTTTAAAATGATTGCAATGTTATGACAAAGGCATTGGAATGACATTCAACTGGGACTTATTCACGACATTGGGACATCTCACATATTCCGAATGTCAAGAAAATATATTTGACAATGAAAATAGCAAGGTTATGTCAATCAAAATGTCATCATATACATGACATTTTATTCTGAATTATTAATTTCATTTAAAATGTCATTAAAATGACTATATATGTCATCACATAACTGACATATCATTATAAAATTGTATTATCATTGTAAACGTTAAAAATATAACTGACATAACTGACATATCTAAAATTGTATTGTCATTACAAACGTTAAAAATATAAATGTTTTCCAAACAAAGATTGTAGTGAAGTCAATGTGAATTTAAGGATTGACATTTAAAGAAGTCCTTGTAAATATATGAGTCAATTCCCTAAATACGACTAAAAAGTGACAAAATTGCACAAATAGGACTACATTTTTTAAATTCCCTTAATAGGACTATTTATGTGTGTTTGGACAAATATACCCTTTTAACTTATGAAATGTTTTAATTAATAATAAAATCATAAAAAAATTAATAAAAATCGAAAAAAATACTAAAAATCGTAAAAAAAATAATAGAAAATTAATAAAAAATATTTTTTAAAAAAATTAAAAAAAAATTAAAAAAATAAAATAAAATAAAAATAAAAAAAATCATAAAATTAAAAAAAAAAACATTACCACCCCTGCCACCCCCAGCACCACCAGCTCTCATCACCGGAGAAAAATATGCCAACATTTTAAATAATGCCATAATGATGGCATATTTAATGAAAATGTTGGCATATTGAAGAGTAATTATGCCATATTTTTGGCATTTTCAGAAAAATATGGCATTTTTTTACCAAAAGTGGAAGAAATTTCACCAATCTGAGCTGGTGGTGCTGGGAGGCGGTGGGAAAGGTATCCATAATTTTTTTCATTTTTTATGGATTTTTACTATTTTTTATTATTTTTTTAAAAAAATTAAAAAAATAAAAATTAAATTTTTTATTTTATAAATGGTTTATAAATTTTTTATAATTTTTTAAATATTTTTTACGTTTTTTATGATTTTATTATGAATTAAAGCATTTCTTTATAAATTAATACTCTTAGGGGTATTTAGGGTAGAAAATCAATGTTTAGTCCTATTTAGGGAATTTTAAAAGTAGTAGTCCTATTTGTGCTTTTTAGGAACTCATTAGTCCTATTTAGGACAATTTCCGTAAATATATCAATGTCATATACAACAATAGTAATCATCAGTTGTAAAAATGTAATGGTAAAACTAAGGGAAATTGTCATAAATAGAAGTAAATTATGTTTGGAATTCCAAACTTGGACTACTATATTTTTCTTCACAAAATAGAAGTTGCTACTGTCATGTATGAAAACATATTGTCATGATTTAAAAATACTGTCATTAATTATATTAATTATATTTAATACTGTCATGTTAAATGCACTGTACTACAATTATTTGGCAGTCACGTTTACAAGATGATAGTACATACTGCCATTTTAGTCATATTTCGAGAATAAAAACATAGTAGTCCTATTTTGGAATCTCAAACTCCATTTACTCCTATTTTGGGAAATCTCCTAAAACTTAAGTTCCAAACTCAAGCCAATTTTTTTGTTATCTAAAACCCATAGAATATTAAACACGGAAAAGTGGATTTTTACAAGTCTTCTGATTATGCCCAACACCAGTACAACTGTTGAGTTTAATCCAACACGATATAGTAAATATATGTATAAGTGTGTATGAACAAGCTCAGTTTTTACGTGGAAACCCGAAAGGGAGAAAACCATGGGACTTTTTAGGCTAATGTCCAAGCCCTCTCTTTCTCATTAGGACTCTCCTCCCCAGTACATAGTACATTTGAGCTCCCATTAATGGAGTATTGAGCTAAGTCTAAAAGAGGGGGGAAGATGAAGCTAAAAGAGGATCCTTTACATGGAGGGAAAACCTCATATTTATAGGGGAAAGGGGAAGGGTGCTCTCCACCCTAATGGGCCAAATACGGGCCTACTGGGCCAAGGTGGGCCGGATGGCCAGAATGGGCCGAAACGGGCCTTACCGGACGGGCTCCGTACTATATCAAGTCTTGGGCTCCTGAACAGTAATAGGCCGGGATAATATATCCCAACAACAACGTTAACATCTCTATTTTTTTATCGGGTTTAATGCACCAAACCCCCCTGTGATTTGGAAATTTGGCGCATTAGCCCCCTGTGATTTAAAAAATGCGTCAAACCCCCCTGTGTTTTAATTAATCATGCGCCAAATCCCTTATGTGAACAAATTCAATTGTCAAATAAAAGAAAAATGATTAACATTTTTGTATGATTCAGAGATTTTGACATATTTATTTGCATATTTAATCAAAATATTAGGAAAAGTGATTTTCAAATCGTTAAATTTATTCATAAAGGGGGTTCTGTGCATGATTAATTAAAACACAAGGGGGTTTGACGCATTTTTTAAATCACAGGGGGCTAATGCGCCGAATTTCCAAATCACAGGGGGGTTTGGTGCATTAAACCCTTTTTTTATCTTTTACATGTAGGAAACTCTCCAGCAGATGGTACTATTCTTCTTTGGCCTTCTAGCTGGCCTCTTTTTGACGTAGGTGGTTTGCAAATCATACTTTGAACATCAACAGGCACATTCCATTCGGTAACATCAAAAATAGGATACACAATCCCACTGTAAGTAGAACACAAAGCGTCACGTTTATAAAATTGCGAGATGAAATCCTAACATGACACATTTGGTGATTTGGAAATCGCAGCAACAACATGAACACAGACACATTGATCCAATTGGAATGCATAACATGTTCAAATTTTCTTCTTCAAATCAACAACAAAGGATTGACATCGCCTATCAACAACCTGGAATTCGTAAGCACAAGAAGGCTACAACTGCAACAAGAAAGACCAAATATAATTAAAAAAAGAAAAATCCAATGTAATTGATTTATTACAAAACAATGTCAAACATTCAAAAACACAATGGCAAAAACATAAAGAAACAATGTCAAATAATAAGAAACACAATGTCATACCTGCATAACTATAAGCATATATATGAAATGTTTCACGTTGCAGAACTATAAGCTCGTGTTCGCTCTCTTTAGGCATTATAATTGTAGGAGAATGCGCTGAATCACGACGCCCTTTAAACCGTTTTTTGCATTTGGTCACGAATAAAATCAATCAATTTCTCTATTGGATACTCTTGGGCACAATTATTAACATTATTCATCGACTCGGCCCAGTTAGAAGTCATGATATTATATCGGAATGGACCTTGCCCATTTATCACTTCCAATCTCATCCAAATATACTCTTATCTGAGGATCCTCCAAATCTAGCATAGCCATATATTGAAGATCCTTCTTGTAAGTAGAAGTTCTTGTTGCAGCGTTAAATTTCCACTCTTTACCCTCACTTGAACCCTTAAACTTCGAACAAATATTACCAAGTAAATGATGAACATAACGCCCATGGCAAGCTGTAGGAAACACATCTACAACAGTTTTAATAATACCAGAATTTCTATCAGAAACGATATATAAATTGTGTCAGTAAGAAAGAGCTAACTTCAACTGAGAAAAAAACAACTCTAGGAATCCTTATTTTCAAAATCACATATCCCAAAGCAATTGAAACAAGCCGACGATTGGCATCTCTAGTACAGACAATCGGCAAAGCCCCCTTAAAATAGGACTTCATAAAGGTCTCATCAACTATAAGCACTGAAATACAATGATCCCTAGCTTGGCACCATGCAGACAATGATAGGAACAAATACTTGAAAACGGAATCACCATGACGAACAAGGTTTATCAAAGGTTCTGGATTAGCAATTCCAAGAACATGGCACATGGATGGTAGTAACTGATATGACTCTTCATCAAACCCAAACAGAAGTTTCATTGAATGTCGTTTCACTGCCAATGCTTTATGGTACGACATAGATATACCGTATTTTCTACGCATGTCTTCAATTAAATCATTGGGCAAATAAGGTTTCTTTGAAGCATTTGAATACCGATGAGTTTCAATGCCTGCAACAATGTCATATGTTGCCTGCCTGTGATCACCTTCTCTAAAGTCCACTAAACAAGAATGATATGAATCAAATCTGCAATAAAACAAAAGGTTAAAATTAAAGATAATGTAAGTGGAAATTAAACTATTAATAAATAAAAATAAAATATATGTTAAAGTGGAAATAGAACCTGTGTATTTGAAAGAATTGCACATTAGGAAGGCGAACACCACGCACGGCCCAAAAACATTTTTCATCAACACAAATGACATTCAAGCCTTTTTTTCTTGAAGTTTTAGTCACAAACTGAAAGTTATTTTCAATTGCAACATCTTCAAATGATAGATAAGATCACGTTTATGCATGTAGATAGAGTGCAATGATATAGTAGTAGGATGACATTGTGTATAAACTTGAATATCCTTATAAAACTTTTTCCGAAAGAGTTGGCATCCATATTACATGAATTTGACAAAATAGAATCAACATAAGAAGAAGGAAGACTGTTGGACCCAAAAGATATATTCTCTAAAGGTATGACATGGGTAGAATTATGAGAAGTATGTTATTTTTGAAGAAACTTCAGTTCCAATGAACTCAAGACAAATTGGAAACTTTGAAAAATCTGGATGTATGGTTTTCATATGCAAGAAAAAAGTAAGGCTTGTATCATCATTAAAACAACGGGAGGAGGACAAGATTCAACAATATAACATATCCTAAAATCCTTCTGAAGTCCTCCCTTGAAGATGTAATGGATCAATATATCACAAAAAGTACTATATGAGGATCCATACAAAATAGGGACACCAACAGTGTGTTTACTACAAAACACGTTTTCAGAATTCGAGAAGCCATCAACTTTAACCATAACAAGAACATTTTTATCCATGTCTGTGACACCTGAAATTATAACAAATGATGTCAATTTCATAACAATGACATCAATTACACAAAATGTCACAAGACAATAAATGCATAAAGATAAAGTGTATGAAATCAGAGACATAAAAAGCAGGTAGAAACATACATGTTAAGAACAAATACACAAACAGGGGGGATCCAAACAGATTTTAAACGATTAATAATAAAAAACATAACAACAATGTGAGAATTCGATTACACAATGATAATACAATAAAAAATTAAAAAGAATTACCTGACATTAAAAAAAATTAAAAAATTCGATTGCAACTCGAACTGCTGAAACGACGATAGAAGCTGAAAGTCATCGAACTGCTGAAACGATGATGGTCGCAAGTGATAGTAGAAGAAGGTGAGCGATTGTATAGTAGAAGTTGATAGATGTCATGTGAAAGTCGCAGGTGAAGGTAGAAGAAGATTCAGAGATTAGCTGAAGGTGAAGGTAATGGTCGGGTGAAGGTGAAGCTCGCTGAAGGTAAAGGTCGATGAAGGTGGGAAAGAAAATAACGGGAAACGGGTGGAACTATCAGATTAAGAAACACGGATAATTTTGGAAATATCAAAAAATTCAATCCTATTTAGGAGTTCAAAAGTTTAAGGTTCTATTTAAGTACATACACAAACTTTTGGTCCTATTAAGGACCATTTCATTTATTTTTTATACCTAGAAATTATTACAATAGTAATTTTAGTGATTATAATGATGACTAGATTTACATTATAGTGACTTTAGTAAAATAATTGTGATCACATTTTTGTCCATAAATTTTACTCAGTAATTTATTAGTATTTAATAATAATAAAAACATCTATAGATACTCTAATACTCTTTCTCCCAACTCCTTTGTCGCCACACAGCCACATCTATCAGTTATTATTATTCGGATAATCAATTTCATTGGCGAATGGCCTCTTATCTTCTTCATTATTTTATTGTTTTATCCATCATCGTCTTTTCTACATTTTCATTTCCAAATTTCTTTCTTTATTTGTGAAAAATCTCTCCATCTTTTCTTTCTATCCCTTTTAATGTCTTTCGATTTTTTTTAAATAACATGTAAAATGATTACACACATAACATCACACTATGTATAATTTTCTTCAATTCCTAAATTGTGTTGAGTTGTAGATAAACTGAAGCATGTCATGTTGTCTTGTGAGGATTTCGTCAAGTAACAAAACCATGTGTGAGAAAATAACATTGATCAAAGAGAAAGGATAGAGCAGTATAAACATTGTGTTGGATGTAATTTATCAAACCTTTTTCATTTGATCCTTTCTCTAATCAATAATTTTAAACGTGTTTTTACCTCATTAAGAAGGGAGGAGCTACCCTTTAAGATAGGGGGCATTGCCCCCCCCCCCCCCCCCCCCCCAACTTTTTATTTTTTAAAGTATAAATTAGTTAAATGTTACGTAGTGATATACTCCGTATTTAGTATAATATTTTCTTTTAAAGTAAAACATGATGCCAATTATGATTGAGATATATAATTCTATATATATATATATATTCATCATTTCATTAATTTTAAATTAGATTAAAAATATTCAATTTATAAGACTTTTTAAAGCTTGAAAAGTATTGGTGAAAATGGTCTGAATCTATAAATATATGGGAGAAATAAATTTGATCAAGTCTAATGAATTAACTTTGACGTGAGATAAATTTAATCGCATATATATATGTGTGTGTGTGTGTGTGTGTCTATTTGTATAGTTAAAGAGTAATATAATTAAATATGCAAACAAATTTAATAATATCAATCATTTTAGTTCCCTTTGAAATATGGGATGCAAAAACAAATAAAAAATCATTTCCCACTATTTATCCACACACATGTAGTAGAAGAATGATTTTCGAAAATTAAATATCCCACTATAATATATCTTAAGATATGATACATTATTTTGTTTTAATTGTCTTACAAAGTCTCACATATTTCAAATTAACCACCAGTTTTAATAAAATATGTTTATGTATTTATACGTTTTTGTTATGTATATGTTTATATAAAAGATGGCAGGGAAAGAGTATAACGTGAAAATGTGTAGGTGCAGAACTTACCTTAAATCAAGTCTTATCCCAAAATACATTTGACATTATCTGGCATGAGACATTGATATGACATCATGCATGGTCATAATAAGTTTAGAAGAAACAAAGAGAACAACTCCTTATACTGTAGGGAGTTTTGTTACTTGACGAAATCCTCACAAGGCCCGGCCCCTGTACTAACCCAGGTAGTGCTGGACTCGGGCCAGTTCGGGCCTGGGCCCGGCCGGGCCTCGGGCCAGGAAAGGGAGGCCCGAGCCCGAACCGCCGGTGGCCGGTTCCGGTCCCGGTTCCGGGCCAAACCGGGCCGGGCCGAACCGGCCCACTTAATTTTTTTTTTTTGTTCTCCTATTTAATCCCCTACCCCTCCCCCTCAACCCCAAACCATCCCAAACCACCTCAAATGGCCCAAAATACCTAATCCAACCTAAAACTTAAAAAAAATTCAAAAAAAAAAAAAATTAAAATCCGGCCCGGACCGGGCCCGAACCGGTCGGGCCGGTTCACCAAAACCTGGGCCCGGGGCCGAACCGCCCAGCAGCCGGGCCGGGCCGAACCGAACCGGTGGACCCACCGGGCCCCGGGCCGGGCCAAACAGTAACCGGGCCGGGCCGGTTCCGGGCCGCCCGGCCCGAGTCCAGCACTAAACCCAGGTCGGTACTGGGCGTGCAACCCAAAAACCCAATCCCACCCGTATCCCGTCCCGGCCTGGGCCCGATCCAACCCTAACTACGAGATGGTATGAAAGTACGTCAAGGTTGAGTATAATAAGCTATTGAAAGGTATGTACTTCATGCATCATCTCGGCCCAAACATTATGAGCTCCAAGTAAAGGGGATAATGATCGAAATAGTAAAAAATTATACTTTTAACATTTTGGTTTGTACACATATTTAGTGGTTATTGATCCTCTCTACGGTATAAAGGGCAACCGTCTTGGGGCTTTTGTATACTTTCATTCCATTCTTTAATGATATCTGTTTTTTTTTTTTTGCTTCCCTAATATACCATTGGTCACTTTTTTGTCCATCTAATTCCTAGTAATATAAATGTAAAAGAACTCTATAAATTAATACACTTAGAGGTACTTAGAGTAGAAATCAATGATTTAGGGCTTTAATCATATTTGTGATTTTTAGTCAAGTTTTAGTTCTATTTCGGATGACGAAATAAAAATTATGCGATTTTTGATAGGCTGGCTATCAAGGAATCGCTTTAAGATTCGTGCGAGGCTGGCTAAGAATATTTACAAGACTAAGAAAATTTTAAAACTCTTTTTGCCTTTTCATTATCTTTTCTCTCATTTGTGATTATCTCTTTAGCTTTGTAGTCTCCTTTATTTATAAACTACGTATAATAAATCTCTCTTTCCGCCAAACAAAAGGAGAGAATCAGACATTATAAAAAAACAAGGGAAAACTGTTAAATAGGTCCTCGAACTTTCATAAAAAGGTCAATTAAGTCCTTCTATAGGAGGTTCTGTCCGGCCGTCGCGATTTGGGGAAGTTCCCGGTGAAATTTTTTGATGAAATTTTTTGAGCATCTTATTCACCAAGTCTAGTTTACTCATACCAAATTTCAGCTAAAAATTCAATCGGGAACACATTCAAATTAATTCTTGAAGATAACTGCACATTTTTGCGTTCTCGAATTAATTTGAATGCGCTCTCGATTACATTTTTAGCTGAAATTTGGTATGAGTAAACTAGACTTGATGAATAAGATGCTCAAAAATTTTCATCAAAAAATTCCACCGGGAACTGCCCCAAATCGCGGCGCCCGGACAGTGTCTCCTGTAGAAGGACTTAATTGACTTTTTTATGAAAGTTTGAGGACCTATTTGACAGTTTTCCCAAAAAACAATGATTTTCCCAAAAAACAATGATTTTCCCAAAAAAAACTGAGCAAGTTAGAACTTAGAAGCGAAAAATGGATGGAGCACTTAAGACCACATCCTAAATGACGATCACTTGTGCCGTTGGAGAAGCAGCCTGCCCTCTCAGTTGCTGATGGATTGTTTGTAATTTGCTTTCATCAAATGTTACAGTATATGGTGGATTTTTCAACCATGTAGGCCCTTTGTAATCTTTTCTCTCCTCCCATCTTCCTCCTTTACTAGCACCAGTATACCACCTATAATCCCTGCATAACACCATCCTCTCAAGAGCCAAAGCATTTTTCAGGATATACAATACCAAAGCAACCTCATTCTCCAAACCAAGGAACCCACCAAATTCTACTTCTTTAAGATGAAGATGAAGATGATGATTTCCGAGAGATGCTCTCTCTCCAATACGAAGATAGCATGGTTTTCTCCCCCTTCCCTGTAAACATGGAAACTCATCATCATTACACAACAGTATTTGTATTTGTTTGCTGGAGAACTAAAAACAAACTGATTGTTTCCTGGTAAACGGTCCAGATGTTCTCTTGCTTGTATGTATAAAAATAATATAACAGCCAGGGACGTAAAAAGTTATGTGTAAATTTTTTTCCAAACATATTTTTTGTATCGGCCCAGTCCGGCCCAGTGTCCTGGCTCCGCCCCTGATAACAGCGCCCAACCCACAAAAAAAAAAATAAAAGGAAAAAAGATGAATTGTTTCATAAAAAATGACTCCCGCTTTTTCAAAAGATGGAAGTCATTTTCGAGAATGTTGTACTAGTCTGCCAAACACAGGAAAATACAGAATGACTTCTCCTATATTCCTGGGAACAAACACTGAAATACCCAAGGTTTGGATATAGCTTAACGTTAGCAAATGCACTCTTCTGCAAAGGTTTGTGCTTACAGAGAGGAAGAGAGAAGTCTTGTTCTGCCAAAATGGATCCAGCTTGTTTTAATAATATCAAATACTATGTATGAAGTTCCCAATAAAGGTGAATAAAATAATATTACCCAGGTTCACCTCAATCCAAGCAAAATATTAATTAAGAAAGAATACCCACTTCTCTTCATTATGGAAGGGGACTCACCACTAAATGCAATCTCTGAAGCAGTGGACAGCCCGTGATTAAAGCAGCAACTTGAGTCACATCAAACAACTCATTGAACTCCATTAGTATGTAAAGCTGCCTCATATGACCAAATGTGGGCACCTCGCGCGGCAAACTATATGCACAAGCGTGGTTTCCAAACGGCAAATCAAGATAAAGAGATTCAACCTGAGGACAATCCTTTCCTACCCATCTAATGATGTCACACATATCATCGGAGCGCATTACCGTGATGTTGACATGCTGGAGCTTGGGAGCATTGGTAGGGTGAGGAAACTTCATTGTTGAATCTATCCATAACTGAACTTCCAAGATTACAAGGTTTTCAGCACATAAAGATATCTCATTGACCCCCCCATGGCACCTATAAATGATTAATGATTTCAACTTCAGTTGTTTCCCTCCGCCAATGAACAGCTTAGAAGGAAGACAGCAATACTCCAATGTTAGAGACTCAAGTTCCGGACATGATGACAACACGCCCTGCACATCAACTGATTCGATATAACCCAGCCTTAAGGATGTTAGAGATTTGAAAGGGTGTTGGGGATTGAAGGGTTCCAGGATGCATGCGGCCAAATGCAGAGATTTGAGCATCGGTGCTGCTGCTTCGCATAAAAGCTTCTGGAGTGGAAATGTGATATGTTTTGTATGTTGTTGACAACACAACCTGAGCGTAAGCTCTTCCACACCCAATCCAGCAATCTGGCGCACCCAACGCTCAATGTGACACGTGAAATCTCTATTCACACACAATGACAGGCAGAAAGATTTAATCTTTTCACAGCCAGCTCCTCTCGGCATTCGAAAAAAACGATCCAAGACAGTCATAAATTCCTTCCTGTACTCAGCTGTACAGCTACACTGGCCACGGAAAGGAATCTCGAACGAGCATCGGCAGCTAAAAGAATAATAAGGCAGAAAAAGATAGAGGTTACTCCATCTACTACTCAATATGCTAGTCCTAACCACATCTTTTGTATCCAGCCGTGAGAGGATGGAGCACAATATATCACTTGGCATTGCACTTATTAGGTCCTCCTCTGTGTAGCCATCATCATCCCCCACCTCCAAATCGAATTGCAAACAAAAATTGCTTAATTCCATACATAAATAACGAAAAGGAACAAACACTCATATAAGGTGATTGGAACTTGACCATCCACAAGTTTTCCCTTTCATATAACAAAATATAACAAAAGAACCTTCTTTCAACAAAAGCAATCCTTTTTCATTGAAATTAACTAGATTTTTTCGTTGAAAATAAACTTGATTGTTGTTACAACAGATCAAAAAATGTGCCCCAACAAAGTTAAGCATACTATATTTAGTTTAGGAAACAAATAATTTCAAAATCAAAATATAAGTAGGACGCATGATTCAAAAGGGTTGTAACTTTCCATAAACTTAAAACGAAACATGACTTTTTTTCTTTTTGTTTGCTTGCTGTAGGGATGGAGTATATGAAATCTTCACAAACAAAAGTCGCAATGGTAATTAGCGATTTTGAACAATAGAAAACCCACCCAAATCATGAAATATGATTGCAGAACACATAAATTAATGGGAAAAACAAAACAGTATCAATGACCAAAGCTGAAAATACCTTCTTTTTCAGGCGTAGATATGAAGAAATTACTGTTCCGGTTCCAAGCCCCAATCCTGTGAGGACCAGTAAGCGCAAAACCAACCGATGTTGCGGTGACCATAACCCTGAAGATGCTAACCGAAAATAAAATGGAATTAATCACCCCCGCCGTCCCGTCGATTACTTTTTCAAACTCCACCCACACCGTATATGAATAAAGACATCAAATTCTTACCAAATTTATCGCCATAACTCGTCGGCATGATTCAATTTTCGTTCTTCTTACTTTGGGATAAATAAATACTGCGTCACTAAATCTATAGATCCCCTGGCGCAAAGGAAGGTTAAAGCTGGATCAGTAGATACTTCAGTTTGGTTATCCATAGACTGATAGAATACTCCGCAGCAAAAAAAATTGAAGAGCTTTATGAAGATATGATCCACAAAGAATAGACTATTGAGAGTGTTTGCAATTTCTTCAACTTTAAAAGTGATTTTTTAAAGTGATTTTGAGAAAAGTGATTAATAATAAAAGTTGGTAGTGTTTGAGAAAAAAATGATTCTAGAAAAGTAAAAGTTGGTAGTGTTTGGTAAAATAAGTACTTTTTGTGTAATAGAAAAAATGAAAATCAGTTTAAAGCACCCTTCTACCTGCTTCCAGCTTTTAGCTTTTAAGTGATTAATTTAAGCAGAAGCTGTCATTTGAAAACACTATTTTCAACTTTTTTTAAGCCAAAAGCTGAAAAGCGTTTTTTTTAAGCAAACCCAAACACTCCTTTAAAAGCTCTCTACCTCACCGTCGTGATTTTGTTTTTATGTGGAAATCTGTTTAGGGTCTGTTTAAAAAAGTGCTTTTTTTAATGAAATGAGGAGAAGTGATTAAATAAAAGTTTATAGTGTTTGAGAAAAAACTGATTTTGAAAAGTAAAAGTGGGTAGTGTTTGGTAAAATAAGTGCTTTTTGTGTAATAGAAAAAGTAAAAGCACTTTTGACGCGAAAGCCGAGAAAAATAAAAGTTGTAGTGTTTGGGAAAATAAATGCTTTTTTAAAGCCAAAAACTGAGAAGTGCCTTTTTAAAAACAGTTGCAAACCAACCCTTAGTACTCTGTACCGGTATATCTAGTGGTGGACACGGTCCGGAACGGTCCGGTAAATTAGTAAACCCCGTAATGTATCTGTGAGATTTCTAACGGTCCGGTACGGTCCGGTTCTAAGGATGGAACCATTCGGTACCATGTTATTTCGGAATGGTATAAAACGTTACGGTACAATGTCAAACACATGGTAAAAAAATTGGAAACATTTTGCAATTAATAGTGATGGAAGTAAATCCACCGGAAAATAATTAATAAGAGATAGCCGAAAATAATTAAAGTGCTCAGGATAATCTTTAGAGAGATAAATGTATGTAGTGTATTCAGTGGATTGAGCTTTTTTAACTTTCCAAAGATTACATCATTTTATAGTGCAAAATAAGACATAAAAGATTTGGGCGACGTGGTCGCCATGTTCGTATTGATACGCAAATCACTAATCCGGATCCGCAGGATCCTTTGTTGATTGTGTAAATATCTTGAAAAGACGTCGGGGATGTGGTTTGTCTGTACGGAGTCACCATGTAGGCATAACGTCCAGAGACACCATGCATATGTTATTTGGATAAGCTTCTACTACTATGTCCAGGGTCGCTGTGGACGCTCCTCTGGCTAAGGTACTTGATCGCGTCCATGGTTGCTGTGGACATGCTTCCTGGATAAGCCTACCCTGACATCCACGGTCACTATGTAGTCCCTGATCTTCTACTAACTTGCGTCCACAGTCGTTATGTACAATCTTTTATCTTCTAACTCGCGCGTGGTCACCACGTACGAGCTCTTCTTATACCTTACCATCATCCGTGCATAGTTACCAAGCACATCAACCTCTAACTGTTTTTCATTCATGTTAACCCGGTCAACATTTATCCATGGTTGGGATAATTATACCATCAAGTAGATATCATCACATCAACCAATTCACATGAAATGTTACCGGAAATTGCTTACATAGTACTACAATTCTACAATTCACAAATAATGCAACACAACTAAAAAAAAAGTATAGCAAAATGACAATAAACGAGATACATATCATCTTTAATTTACAAAGTTCACTTGAAAATATAAAAATAAAATCATCAAATTAATGAATATAACAGAAAAAATCAATGTTCTTCATTGTTCTAGGTTAAGTATTAGTTCTAATTAAATTAATAGTTGAACCGCGAGAGCTAAGATTTAAACCATATTAATTAAGTTGTAAAATTGCACAAACGTGATACAACAAAAAGTTGTATACACTACATTACTAGAAATGAATAGTTATTAATGATTTCTAAAACTTTAACATTCTTTTAATACATACCAAAATATAATATAAATTATCTAAAATGAAAAAATAACAATATACGGAGTATATATATATATATATATATATATATATATATATATATATATATATATATATATATATATATATATATATATATATAAACACATTTAGCTATTTTAGGGACGCATGAATACATACTTGAGCTATAAAATTGTTGGTCTATAAAATAGATTTATTGGTATGGGGAAAATATAAAAAATTTCAATGCATTATTTTTGAACGGTCCGGTTCGGTATTTTTCGGTACTCAAATTCTAGGACCGGTCCCGTACCCGTTTCAAGCGGCACGGTTTCGGTTCGGGATAAAAATTTATAGAACCGTTTGAATACCCGGTATTCGGTTCGGTACCATTACGGGCCGGTTCAGTACCGGTTCGGTTCGGGTTTTATGCCCACCCCTAGGTATATCATACTAGTATATGTTTTCCGGTGGACTAAAATTTACTGATTTGGTCTGGTCTAATCTTGTTTAGTTTGGTCTGGTCTGAACTGGTCTGGTAAACGTCTGATCTTTATATATTTTGCAATTACGGAAGACGGGTTTGGTGTGATCCGGTCTGGTCTGATCTGGGACTGAAAACAATTCAAAGAAAAACATCCTAAATGACTGGTCTGCTCCTAAATGATTGTTTAGGCAAGTAAAAATTAAAGAGAGAAAAGAGAAAATTTAGAAAAGTAAACATAAAAGGTGAAAGTAATTAAAGAGAGATAGAGGAAGTTGTTTAACCCAACTGGTAGCCGACTCACTCTCCCTTATGGGAGGCCCAGGTTCAATTCGCAATGGAGTGAAATTGATCCCAGTTTATATACCAGACCCAAACTCACTCCCCCTGACGCCCCCTGGGGTAAAGGTGTAATCAAAAAGAGTAAATTATTTCATAAAATTGGATAGGAACTTTTAAACGAGACACCCATATAAAAAACAATAGGAACCTTTCACCGATTTTCCATTTATAAAACAAAACAACGGCCCACGTACAAAGAGTAGTTACAACCCACACCATGAAGCTCACTCACCCACTACGTACAACACATGCATGCATAACTAACTTCTACGTACATGCAAACTTAAAACAAATGCAAAACAAATATAAAAGTCCACGCATGAAAAAACTATTAAAAATAAAGTTTAACTCCACAATATCTACTCTTATTTTTCTCTCTCTATGGAGATTCTGAAATCTTCACATATCATATGAAGAGAGAATATCGGTCAAAAGAGTTTGAGAAAGGCAGCTTATATTGGCGAAGAAAGACAACCTATATCAAAAGTTTGACACAAAAGTTTGATGTGTTAAACAGTATTGTCGACCGCCCGTCCCTTTCATCTATAAACGTTCATGTTATTCTTCGACGAACTTAAATACGGAGTACTGTTTTCTATGCATTTTAAGATGAAGAATGCATTTTAAGATGTACATGTTTGTGGTGTACAAGTTCTTTTTTGTACACGTTTCGTACACTTGTTTATCTTCTGCATACATAATTGTCTGAGTATAGACAACTCTATAAGGCTCTACAGAGTTGTCTGTACACAGGCAATTTTGTAGGCGTAAGACAGTCAAACATATCAAAGGTGTATACAAAAAGTGTACACCAAGCACTTAAAATGCATGATGTCCCTCAGGTCGTTCACATGGGAACCGCCGTATGACCAAAGCTATTTGAGGTCCTTCTCGATTGAAATTTGTTTAACTCATTTTTCGATTGAAGTTTAATATGATACTTTCTGAGAATAAAATACAAAATTTATGAGTACGTTCTTCACTTCATGAAGAACATGTTCATAAAATTTTATCAAAAAAATCCACTGGAAAGAGAGCACCAAATGACCTTGGCCGGACACAAGTTCCCGCAAGGAGGTCCACACCAGATCAACACTCAGCATTTTAATATTCACCCAACCCCTATCGCCTGCCTTTTGTATACTTTCATAGTTCCATACACGCATTCGTGAATAAACGATATTTTTGTTTATGAATAGTCTATTCATAGACAAAATAATATTTAATCTATGAACATGCTATTGACAAACAAAAAAAGTGCATATGCACAGAAGACATGTACGAAGCGTGTTCAAACAGTTATCCTCTTTAATACTAGTCATTTCACATACGATTAATACAACATTGTGTATATTGTTATAAATAATTGTTTTTAAAAATGAATGATTATAATTCTAAGAACTATGTTTTCGAGGTAAAGTAGTTGAATACTGATTTTTTTTTTGGGAGTACAACTCTTCCACTGATTTAGTTTTTCTCTCTCTAGGGTGTTTCCACCGCTAGGGTTATTCTTCCGCTATCGACACAGTCGAGGAGCAGTGCCATAGGCAGTTTATTTCCTTTAAGGGGCTTCGAATGAAGGAGAGAGGTAGTTGCCTAGTTGGAGGTCAGGGACGGTGGTTGTTTAGTGGCGGGTTTTGCAGTGCGGCTTTCTCCGTCTAGAGGAGGGTAGAGACTGGGGGGCTCGTCAGAGGGCTTCGATCGCTGGGAGTGGGGTAAAAGTAGGGATGGGATCGGTCCGGTCTGGGTTGGGTTTTTGCTTAACCCGGAAATTACCCAGAAGGCCCCGTGTTATGAAAATTAGGAACCGGAACAAAGCCCATCATATTCGGTCCGAGTTGGGTTTTTGGTAGCCCGGGTTCGGTATTATTATTATAAAGTTGCGTAAAAATAGAAATGAGGTGTTTAAATATATATTTGGGAGTACAACTCTTCCACTAATCTAGTCTTTCTCTCTCTAGGGTGTTTCCACCGCTAGGGTTATTCTTCCGCTATCGACACAGTAGAGGAGCAGTGCCATAGGCAGTTTATTTCCTTTACGGGGCTTCGAACGAAGGAGAGAGGTAGTTGCCTAGTTGGAGGTCAGGGACTGGGGTTGTTTAGTGGCGGGTTTTGCAGTGCGGCTTTCTCCGTCTAAAGGAGGGTGGAGACTGGGGGGCTCGTCAGAGGGCTTCGATCGCTGGGAGTGGGGTAAAAGTAGAAGTGGGATCGGTACGGTCTGGGTCGGGTTTTTGCTA